TAAAATTATTTTGTATTACTCATAATTTAAAATTTTTCTTAAAATAATTTAAATCTAAAAAAATAAAATAAAAATTTTCGGACTTGACGGGTCAAGTTCCCACTTCTACGTATCTCTCGTTTACGAAAAATATTTTTTGTTTTTGATTTTTTTTTTTTTGAAGTAAAAAATTCATTTTTTTTATATATTTTCAAATAAAGAATTAAAAAATTTAATTTAAATTAGGAAAATAGAATATTTATAAAATATTATTCATTTTTTCTGTTTTCACATTAAATAAAATTTAACTTATTTTTTCTAGTAAATATTTAATTTTTATTTTTAAATAAAGAAATGTAAAAAAATTTAATTTAAGTTGAGAGAACAAATTAATCATAGAATATTATTATCCCCTCTCTCTTGTCTTTTTTCATTTTTTATTTTTTTTACATTTTTGGCATTAATAAAAATAATCTTAAAATATTTTTTCTTGATATTTTATTTTTTTTTCTTTTTTTTCTTTTTTAAATAAAAAAATGATTTCGTTCTTTTTAAAATTATTTTGGATTACTCATAGTTTAAAATTTTTCTTAAAATAATTTAAATTTGAAAAAATAAAATAAAAATTTTTGGACTTGATGAGTCAAATTCCCACTGCTACGTATTTCTCGTATGCAACAGAAGAATCAAAGATACCACATAATTCTTTTTTTTTTTAAATTGAGTTTTTGATAAGTTTAAAAAAAAGATTTTTTGTTTTTGGAAAACTTTATTTTTAGGTAAATCCACTCCTATTCAAAGTTCAAGTTAGCACACGGCTACTCAATAAACCCTTATAATCCAAGCAACGTTGAAGGTGGATCCACCACTCTATCAAAATCGTTTGGCCATTGCATGGATTTAAAATGTTTTTGATATTAATTTTTAAGAGATAAGTCCATCCTTTTTGTTTAGACAAAAAAAGACATACATATAGAAAATGAACAAGAAAAATAATTATAAGGTTAGGAAAGGTTAATTTTTTAAAATTTGCAAAAAGATATTTTAAAAATTAGAAAAGGTTAGGTTTCTTTTTTAGGGTTTGTAAGAGGATTTTTTACGGTTAAAAGAATATTAGAATTTTTAGGTTTGTAAAAAAAAAGAAAGAATTTTTAGGGTTTATCATTTAAAAAAAAATTCTTGGATAAAATTAGTTTTGCAAGAATGATTTTTTGGGTAGAAAAAATTAGGCTTTTAAAATTTTTTTTTAAAAAAAAAGTCACTTTTTAGGCTTAGTAAAAGACAAAGCAAACAATAATTTTTTTTTTAGGGTTTTTGGGATAGAAAAAATTAGAGTTTGCAAAAAAGGAAGGTTTTTTTTTAGGTGAAAATATCTATGCTTACAAAAACCTAGTTTTAGGGTTAGGAAAACTTAGTTTTGTAAAAGAGACAATTTTTATTTGGAAAAAAGAAAAGTTGATACATTTAGCATGAACAAACAAGAAAAAGGTAGAAACGAAAGCAAAGTACTCATAATAAAAGGATATTTTGTTTAGAAATAAAAGATCAAAACTTTTAATGTGAACAAAAGAAAAAAATGAAAGCAAAATAATAGTTGAAGAAATATTTTGTTTAGACACAAAGATTCAAACTTTTAATATAAACAAAAAATGCACAAGCAGAAATGAGAAAAATAATAGATGAAGAACAAAACAACAACAAGAAAAACTTACTTGATCTGAAAAGTAAGAGTTTCGTTGGCTTTATCCTTCAATTCTTTTGGTTCGTTCTCTCTAGTTGACCTTGGATGCGCCTTGGTATGCTCTCGAGTGATTTCTTTTTAATTCTCTTTTCTTCGTTCCCCAAGCTATCTCTCTAGAATTCTCTCTCTTTTTCTCCCTATACTCTCAAAGTGTCCCGTAAAAATAAAGTGTAAAAGTCCTACCTCTAAAAACTTAAGCTTCCTATTTATAGTCACCTCCTAACCCTAGATCCTATTTAATTTATTTAATTTATTTTTTTATTTTTTTATAAAAAGGTTCCACCTTCCTATTTTTCGATGGTCACCTCTCACATTTTCCTTAAACATCTCATCCACTTCCCTTAAAATTTACCAACTAATTACTTTTTTCTCCACTAACCTAAATATGTACATATTTAAAATTTAAAATCCTAAATCCTAAACTCTTATAGACCTAAAGTTTAAAATCTTAACTAATTTTTATTTTATTTTATTTTATTATTTATGTATTTATTTATTTATTTTTAGATGAGATCCAGATAAAATTGGATATTCACAGAGATTAATCTCACTTGAGCAAGATTGCTTCAGAATGTCCAATTCATCATAACTCTGCCTCACTTGAATGAGACATACCTCGCTTAAGCAAGAAACCCTGCACCAAAACACCTATTTTTTCCAAAATGAAGACTTAATGATCGTTACAATGAGAGGCTTTGTTATATTCCTCACGTCAACACACACATAAAACACTTAATGATCGATCATGAACTCTCATTACTAATTACATCAAATAAAGCAACCAAACAACACTGCAAACGCACAACTCTAATCCAGCAATTGCATAGCTCACACATTTTATGTACCAACATATATGAAAATTCAAATAATTCAAGCAATTACAATACAATTTACTATTATATGGACTTAGTTTGGAAGCACTTTATTAAGTGCAATTTTTTAGTTGAATGATAAGAATGAGATAAAAAAAAAAAAAAGGAGTAAATGAGGAGTACAAAGTGATGAAAAGAATTAATATGAATAGTTACAATGATACACTGGGGGTATAGAGTTCGGAGACGATTTTGGAAATCTGAAAAAACGTAGAGTGGTGAATGACATCGTGTATGTGTACACACTCTATTTGAGAGTGAATATGTCACATGGACTCACTCGTTTCTTGACTATACTCTTGACTATATCTTTGTTAAGGGACTCATTATTGTATACGTTGTATTCGTGTTCATAGGTTAATTGGCGACTATTTACCTATCTGTATAAAACCTTATAAAGTACTGGAAACATTGAATATTTGTGTTCATAGTGCACAGAAAAGTACATATTTGAAGGAGAGAATTGTATGGAATTTGTGATTGAGTATGTATGCAATATTGGAAATTGTTGATGTACTTATTATGTGTTTGATGTGGTAATACTTATTTGAGTCATGAGTAAAATCGATGTTGTGATATGTAATAATGTTTTTGTATTATATCTAACAGTGAGAAAAGTGTTCATCCTTATTAAATATTTTAGGGAATAAGGATGGCAGATCCAAGGAGACCCATTAAAATAGTAGGTAGTTTTATGTACAGTAGATTACGTTGTATGTTTAGAGACTGGCAACGATTTTGTCACTGTAAGTCTACTATAGATATTAATAATGAACTGGGTAATGTATATACTTTGGAAATGAATATAGAGTATAGTGTTCCTTTTGAGTATTATGTTCATGGTAGGATTTGTCACACACTTAGTTTGTACATATATTGAGGAATTGTTTGGACACCAAAAATGGTAAACTACGTGTATACCTTCCTTGAGCATGACAACATGGGAAGACCTACCTAGTTTACTTTCGAGCAAGTGACAAACACAAAGGTCGTGGCTAATACTGGAGACCTTGAAGAGGATGAGGACCTGACTTCGGAGAAACTGGCAGAGATAGAGAGTTAGTTTAGGGACAACGACTAGGATCGTGTCCTCGGTATTTTGGTATAAACTGACTGCTCTTTGGACTTAATCATTTTTTTATATTGTAATTATGTAAATCAAGTCCTAATATATATTTTGAATATGATCTGTAAATATTAAACTTTATACATAAATGAAATTCAATTACGCATCTTATTTCTTCATTAGTTCCAGTATAAATTTAATTAGTAAGATAAAGTTTATTATTTGTTACTTCTAATGCTTTCGTAAAGTTTCATGAATGTATTTATTTATAAGAAAGTTTTACTTTCATTACATTTTCATACTACTTGTTTTATAAAAAGTTTATTTTTTTATTTTGTCATAATTTATTGTATAAATTAAATACGAAATTAAGAATTTCACAATGTTACTGGATAGAATGCTTGTAGGAAATAAAAAAAAATTATATAAATATTTTCAAATTAGTTCTTATAGTTGATATTTATTTACAAATAAGTTTTTATTCCTAAAAAAAAAGTTTTAGTCACTATAAGTATTTTGTGACATTTTGATTTTTTACAACATCATTATAAGTTAATGTATATTCTTAGTATTTTTTCAATAGTGTCACGATGACATGGACCAAAACAAAATAAAATAATTGTATAAGAATGTAAGCATTTTAAATACATTTACTAATTTGTAAATAAGTGTTATTTATAAAGAATAAATGTGTATTTTGATAAAAGAAAAAAAAATTATGTTGCTAAATTTTACTTAGTTGTTTCATTCCCCAAACAGCCTTTAACTCTTAATATGCTATCTAAATTTAAGAAAATGGATATATATCCATGAAATCACGCTTGTGTGTATGCGACTTTATTATGAGAGGTTTAGTTTAAAACCGTAGTTTGTTAAGGGAGATGAGAAGTTTTGTAATAAGTATCAACAAAATTTGTATTAGTTGTTTGAGGAAGGATTTAGACGTCCTTATATATGTGCATGAAATGTTAAATGTTAGAGAAGTCAAGAGTCACTTACGTATGAATGTATTTAAATCAAATTCTTAGTTTTAGATTGATCATGTATATGTATGACTTTGCATCGACCTAGGGATTGGGTTAGATAGTAGTGGACTTCGTATTAAGGATGATTACTTTTGGCCAATGCAACATAGCCATAACGAAAATGAAAATTGGACACAAAATTCGTGGCATTTACTGGCAAACGAAAGTTGTTCTCTTTTCTCCATGATTAGTAATGGAAATGTTCATTTTTTAATTTCAATTTCATGCGTTTTCGTATTTGATATTTTCGTACTACTTTAGCATTAGTGCCATTAATCTTTCAATAAGATGCTACACGCTTTTCCAAGTGCATGCCAACTTTGGGTCAACAAAGAAATACAAAAGAAAAGAGAAACTATTACAAGGAATGAATCAAAAAAGAAATGCTACCACTATCACCATTATGTTCATCTCTAAAGGCTACAAAAAATAGATGAACAAAATGAATCCAATCAGTCTTCCAAAGCAGTTACAGATACTTTGGTAAAATAATTACAAATGGAAAATAATGAAGGAATTCTATCATAATTCTTGAAATGTAGACCCCATATCCAATCACAATTTGATCTTATAGCAATTTCTAATTATCATGAATGGCGGCAAATTCACCTGAAAATAAATGAGTGATGAAACTCATCCTGCAAGATTTTGAGTGGGTAATTGATTATTATATTGGTGTCATTATGCAGATGATACAGCTTCTATGGCACTGCCAAGGGGCCATGCAGCCTCAACAAGAGCATCACGATATTTAACTTTCTTCACTAATGTAATCTGTTGCCATGGATCCAGACCTGCCAGCACAAGAATACAATCAGTGCAAGAAGATAATGCCATTACTCATTTTGCAGAGCACATCAATATCATGTAACATCAATACCAGGTCAAAACCTACCAAATCCAACAACAAGCAATGAATACTGGTATACAAGATCCATGCATAAATATGGACGGTTTCCCTCCTCAACATGTGGATAACTGGATTTGGCATCCTCGAGTTTTGTTTGACAAGCTTGCTTGGCTGCTTCCTCAAAATCCACAGGATGAACTTTCACAACGGGTAAGTTTGGATCAGCAAAACCAGCCTACAAATAATTAACATGATTAGCATGACAATGCTGCATTATACCGAGGAATTAATAGAAGTATATGGTCTAAGATTGAATAAAATAGTAAATACCTCAGCCGCCCGGTCAAAGAAAAATGAGGCAACAAAAAGATTTTTCTGTCCGTCCCCCCCACCACCGTTCCATATCCCACCAAAAGTGCACTTCATATGTGTACAGGTTGATTCATTAACCTTGAGAGCCTTAAGAGCTATGCTTTTGCATTCATTCAAGCTTGCGCCAGAAGGGGAGGATGAAGCCTTAAAAGATTTTCCTCCATACTTGTAAGACCCTAAGAAGGATGTAAAAAATATATAATAATGATGATAAAAGATACTCACTTGATACTGGCATAAAAATAGGAACAGGCATGCAGAAAGCTGAAGCAATATTTACCATCAAAGCCATCTAAGATGCAAGGGTTTCCAGAATCATCAGAAACCTTTAAAATCTCTGCCCGAGCTGCTAGTAAACCATAGCGCAAGTAACTGAAAGCAAAATGCTAAAACATATTGGCCATTGAAGATGAAATTGTATTATAGAATAGCTATCTATCTATAAATCATTCTAAAAACGAAGTGGATCCCCCTGGGTCCTGTAAAAGGTAACATTTCAGAGTGGCATGTCAAGTGCAAAGAGAAAAACCTGTGAACATAAAGGTAATATTTCCTTCCCCTTAGGAACATCTCCTTGACATATGGGTCCTCTCCATGGGGTGCTTTTGGAGCCTTGGCAGCATCTTTCTCAGAGATGGCATATGCCATTTGAACAGATCCACCTCCAAGATCAACTACCCCAACAGTCTCTGAATAATCTTTTCCCAAGTTTCCTAGTAGATAGTTAATAGTCACCTAAAATAAAACAAAAGGCAAGGTAACACTAACAAGATACTTCAGAGAGTACACAAGATCTTAATTTCCCATTCAGCATAAAGTTTACATTCACTTTTTTAGTAAGCTTTTGAACCATGCATATGTTTTCTAGCAGTGTATAATTTTAGGTAGTGTAGAGGAATAGATATAAAAGAGAATTGATATTTACTAGGATGTATTAAAATATGTCCGGATGTTTGAGGTGTTCATGAAACCTAGAGCACTAACCCGTATTTATATTAATCACAATTGCATCTAATTAAGAAAACAAATCATGATAATAAAAGAAAACATGGTAACTAATCTTAAGAGATAATAATAAAATAAAGTAATTAATCCTATGAGATAATGATAAAATTAAACTAATTCTAAAATATATGATATGATATGATAAATTGATAATATATTTAGATATTTTCAACTATTCTAACACTCCCCCTCAAGCTAAAGTTTACTAAGCTGGTTACAAATAAACTCTTTATATAGGTCAAACAATATAATTTGCGAATGTGAAACACAAGTACTTGGTGATTTTCTAAGATATGCAAGGCCAGCTGATACTTCTGGAATTTAAAGTTGTGGGGTCAAACTAATTTTTCTTAGAAAGATACAGAGCCAGGAAATTTTCTGAGAAAGCCACGAAGCAAGGCTTATATCTCTAGAAAAGCCATGGGGCAATTGATACTTCTGATAAATTGCAAGGCCAAAATGATTTCTTTGAAAAGGCTATACTGCCAGGCAATCTGTGCAACTGCTATGGGCCAAGCTATTGTCTCTAGGAAAACAACAGGGCCAGTTAATACTTCTAATAAAGTTACAAAGCCAGATTGATCTCCCAAGAAAAGTTTCATTGCTAGAACAATTTCTAGAAAGCCCATGGTGACATCTAATGTCTCCAATCTCATTGTACACAATCTGAACCACGTGGGTAAATATGCCACAAAAATGACAAGACAACCAGGGGTCAATCATCGAAGTCAAAGACTATTTGAAGCATACCAAAAAATGCACCTCTGATGCAACTCTGATGAAGAACATTACCAAAAAATGACATAACTCAACAGAAAGAATAACACCAAAGACGCTGGAGGGTTGACACGGCAAGAGAAGGAATTACTTTTGAAGGAAGAATCATAAAAATATAGTAAAACTCCATATCATAGGAATTTGGTAGTGAAATAGTGACAAGATAGGTCACAAAGGATAGTAGTAGTACCACTCTGATAACATGTTAAAACTGTGGTGTTTTAAGGTATAAAAGGGAAGAAGAGAGATAAAAGAGAATTAATATTTACTGAAATGTGTTGTTATGTGTTGAGATGTTCATAAAACTTAAAGCCCTGACCCCTATTTATAGTAATCACAACCTATTTAATTAAGAAAACAAATCATGATAAGATAGAGAAACAAGGTAACTAATCCTAAGAAATAATGATAAAAACTAATCCTAAAAGATAAGTTAAGACAATATTCTTAAATATTTTCATCTATTCTAACAAAACCAAATGATTTTTGAGAGGCAAGATCGATTGGAAAGGCAGTGAAAGAGACACTCAATGATTGAAGAGTATTAACTATAGTTAGTTACTCTAGTTGGGGAAGTTAGTTTAGCATTTAACATTTCTGTTTGTTGTCACATAATAAATGTTAAATGCTAAACTAACTTCCCCAACTAGAGTAACTAACTAGTTAATAAAGAGGCTTCTAACCTTTAGAGAGTGAATATTGGTTAGAGCAAAATGGGTGTGTTATAAACCTAGACATTTGTGTAAAAATGAGAAAAACTAGGTGAAATATGAGGTATCCAGAGAAGATACTACGAAGGTGGAGACGGAGGGAAAAGCTAAAGCTTTAAAGGACTATATCAACCTTTAGGCACCAAATGTAAAACCCATTGATTAAACCAGAATGAGCTTTTGGTCTAGCCAATCAAACTTATAATCTTGATATTAATTTAAAATACATTTAGTTTGGAACATTTGAAAAAATAATTACCCTTTTTCTTTCAAACTAAATGCATTAAAATCTTAGACTGGTTTAGTCAGAGAGTGTTACACCATTTAGACCAAAAGAGCATTTTTTTTCCTTTAGACCTAAGGAAAGGCCTAATATGCTTGCTTGTGTGCTTTCATATTACTATTTCAAAAGAAAATGGGAATGGGAGATTTAGATAGGAAGTTTTTTCTTGTTTGTCACATTTGAATTTTGTTCAATTGGACAAACTGTGATCTTGTGAATATAGGAAGTTTCGGGCAGGTAGAGGTGGCCATACGGTAGCAACAACTGCAATTCAAAAGCTAGCTGAGGCCTTGGAGAGGAACCTAAAAAAGTAAGAACCCGATGAAACCTATGGTAGGACACTTTCCTAAAGAGAAATCCACCTCAATTTGAAGATGCCACAACCTTGATGGAGCCCAACTCTAGATTTGGGACTCAGAAGATTTTCAAAGTTATGGGGTGTGAAGACGCTAGGAAGGTAACCTTTGTCGCATATATGTGGTGCAAACTAGTAAAACTAACAGGGAAATTAAGCAATTCAAACAAGGGAAAAGAAATGATGTTGCTATTATTTGATATAAAGGAGAGCTAATCCTTATAAAATATTTTGTTAGGATATAGTTGTTCCTTTTTCAAGAACTATTATTTTTAATCACTATAGTTGATGTAGTCCAACCAAAGTTTATACTTGACAGTATTTCAATGAATCACGTCAACTAGAAGGACAAAAAACAATAATTTGTAAAAAAGTAAGGACTATATCCTAACAAAAAATTATATAAGAACTACATCTAAATTATACAACTTTTCTATGGACCAAATAATTAAACCTATTTTTATAAAATTAAGTATTTCCAAATAGATGAGGAAAAACAAAGTTTTAAGAGAAAAGTATTAAAATGATTATTTAATTTGAAAAGAAAGTCTTTCATCACAAATTTTTTACATGAACAAAACATTATTGGGATTGTGTTAGGGACCAATCCTGAAATTACCTGTTGAGGCATGTTTTTAATCAATCAAATTATGTTTTGGCCATGGGCTAGTACCAATAGGTAATGAGGTCTTCAGATGACTTCTCACAAATTATGGTTATGCAATGTAGTGAGACATTGGCGTGTTTAGGTTCACATGCATGGTGAAACATATAAATAAGAGACTTAATTCATAAATGAACTTTACATCATGCACTGCACCTTACATAAGTTGTATGTTTTCCTTTCATCCTCCATGTATGATTGCCTTATTCAAGGAAATTGTTGGAGAACTCCGTGTATGACTGTTATGCATGATATATTAGAATTCCTGCTTAGGACTACAATGTGTTATGAATGTAGAAACATGAGCTCACTCTTGTGTGCCTTGCATGTTTCTTTTCTCTTCCTTTTTGACAGTACCTATACTTGATGCACCCCATCGTGCTCAAGGTGTGGGTGATCTATCCAGATGACGGACATGGATGTTTGATCCCCTAATGGGGGAAACTTCCTTCCATAGCAGGTGCTTGTTGAGTTCAGACATTCCAACTTTGCTGTGCAAGAAGTGAATGATGATATCCAATGTTGTTAAAATCGCCATTTAAATCGCTTGATCGTACGATTTTACGATCCTAAACCGTATGGATGATCTTGATCGGGCTTAGGATCGCATATGTGAAAGATCGGAGGAAATCTCGATCTTTTTTGGCAAGATTACAGGATCGCGATACGATCCGATCCCAGCATCAGATTTTTGGGTCAGTTCTGGTTGGGCTTTGCGGGTTGGGCTTCTAGGAGTTCGGGTTTCTAGGTCAGGTTTTTCTGACACGGTTTTAAAAAAATCTATCTAGGTTATTTTTCCCCAATCTTTTCCAATCTCTCCTCTTCTCATGCGCGTGCAACCAGTTCTCTCTCTGTGACAGCCATCCTTCAATTTTCTCTCTGCAACAGCCATCTTGTCATTTTGTTTCTCTTCCATGACACGACACCCATCCTTCGATTTTGCCTCTCTTCCTCAACACTCATCATTCCATTCTCTCTAAATTTAACCGTGCCACCATTGGAGAACTCATCGACACCCAATCTCTCATCTTCTCTCTATTTGGGTTCTGATTTTGCAACGTCTACACTGTGGGTTTCAGGTTTGATTGGTTGGATTTTGTTGGTGTTTGCTATTGTGATTTCTTCTTCCCATTGATTTTGTGTTGGTTGGTGGCTGTGGCTGTTTGTGCTGTTCTACGTGGTTGTGGTTGTTTCTAAGTGGGTGAGGCTCTCTCAGTTCTGTGTGGGTGAATTTGTGGGATTCTCGGTTCTACATTTCTCCTCTGTTTTTATTATTTTCATTGCTACATGGCAGATAATATAAGAAAGAAAGTTGGTGGCTGTAGAAAAAGAAAAGGAATTCAATTAAGTGGAGTTGCAAGCATAGTAGTCAATAGCAGCCGCTATTGCGGAGGAGCGGAGCGGCAGGTCGCCAATATGGGAAGCCTATAGCGTCGCGTTTCAGTGGAGCGGCCATCGCGCCGCAAATAGCGGCCAAATCGCGGGAGAATCGCAGCCATAGCGGCCGCTATTTCATCCCTGGCTAAAACCCGACTTTGCCCTTGCTTTCTTAATGTTGGACATCTTTAAATTGGGGGTAATCTTGGGATTTCCACCCCTTTTACATTTTTTATATCTTCTTTCTCACGAGCCCTAAGTTTTCATTTTCGTCTCTCAATTCTCTGGTTCGTTCTTCCCCATCTTCATTCTCTGCAACATTCTCTTGCTTCCAATGTCCTTCTCTGGCGAGCTTCTGACGTGACAAAGTCGTCCTCCGGTTATCTTCTTCGTCTCCAACAAAGCTTTTGACATAACTTAGACGTGCTCCGTTTGTCTTCATCTTCGATTGTCTTCTTCAACTCCGGCGAAGTTTCCAATGTGGTCCAAGCATTTACGGTCATCTTCTTCATCTCTGATAAAACATCCGACGAACCTGCACATTTGCTAGTGACTGACCAATTC